AAGACTGCAGTACTAATTAATATGTTTTAGTTTATTCTAATTTCTATAAATAATTAATAATAAATTAAACTTAATAAAAATTCATTCAATAAAATAATTTGTAAAACTTAATGTACCGTAAATTGGAATGTTTTCTTTGTAAAATTAAAAATAAGGTATTTAATTAATAACTATTGTAACTATAATAAAAAATATTTCTATTTCTATAAGGGTAAGGATACTGGTGAAATTAGAGGCAAGCAGTAATGTGATCATTACTCCGTTTCGGTATGGAAGAACAAGGGGGCTGGTGACAGGAGCATGGGACTTGTCAACATATGTCCCAAGGGGATGGGCCAGTGGCAGTGCCGTTCAGATTTTTGCGAATTTAAGATCTGCGTGGCACTGCAAGTGCTATGGACAGGCGTGTCGCTTAGCACCAGGTGCACGACGTGTTTCCGCGTCCCGTCACTAAATATCATAAAAAAAGTTCTAATATGTTTTAAATACTCTAAGTTATACTAGATCCAAAGATCAATGAACTACGGTCCCCTAATATAAAAAGCGCTGACCAACAATGCCCCTCCTTACTTAAGTCACACACCTGTCGATTAGAACAAACTTTAGAAAACACTTGTCATTGTATAAAATATTCGGTAATGTTCGTACGTAAGACATCGAAACCATCTAATTGGCCAATCGCCGGCGAAGAAATCCCCCATATCTATGTGGCAAGCTTATAAATATATCTATAATCTATAAAAAATATAAATATAATCGTACAAAGTATAGGTATGTGGAATAAATGATTGCAAATTTGTACACATTCTATTTCGTTCTCGATTATATTTTTTATTTTTGTCTGCTACTTACTTTAAAGCTGTCAACCCGCGTACTTCGTTTTTGTACATAGTTGTTTTGTTGCACCATTTTTAAAGGTGATATAACAATTACCAGAATTCAGTGTATTTTAACATTATTATCATCAGGTAAGTTTATTTCGTGCTTTTATTGATTAAGTGTTCATAAAGTTTCGATATGTTATTTTTTACCAAATTTCCTGTTGATTACGCGTAAAATTGTTTTTGTGCATGTGTTCCTTTATTTAATAATCATATTAAACAAATCAAACAAAGCTACAAAAAATACGTCATAAAATTATCTCGCTGTGTAAGTTCTGTCGATCTAAGTATTTTTCCTCATTTATACAAGTGGGAATTACTTCGGAACGATGCTGACGTGATGTTTCAAACAGCCTAAAATATATGGTACGAAATATACTATAGAGTCCACGGCTTTCGGTCTCGCTGCATTTCCGCATCCCGGTAAAAAAAATATCGCTCTCGGCAGTCGTGAAAACACCGGGAAAGACGGGAAAGACCCAGTGACGGGATGAACAAGTCGTGCGCTTCGTGGTAAGCGACACGCCTGTTGACAGTTGCAATGCCAAACAGAACTTTAATAAATAAATAAAATAATAACGAAGTATTTGTACCCGCGTCAAAGAGCATATAGCTGATGTCAAACACCGTCGCGTAAATAAGTCGTAAGTAAGTTTGACAAACCCCAGGTCCTTGCAAAAGAAGTCCGTTATCTACCCAGGATGCTGCGAGAGGCCATTGAAATTAAAAAACATCCTAATTTCAACAGGGAAGATGGTTTCTCCGTACCACCAGTTTGGGATCCAGTATTTCCTCTAATGAAAAACCCCAAACAGACATAAGACTGCAGTACTAATTAATATGTTTTAATTTATTATAATTTCCATTATTACTTAATAATAATTGAACTTAATAAAAATTCATTCAATAAATAATTTGTAAAACTTAATGTAGCGTAAATAGGAATGTATTCTTTGTAAAATTAAAAATAAGGTATTTAATTAATAACTATTGTAACTATAGTGAAAAAATAGGGTGGTTTGCATCAATATTAGACATAACTGGTTGAAGACTGTACCACCTCAGTCAACCGTGACCATGGGACCCGTAAAGGGCCCGAAACGTCGGTTTGTTTGTAAAAACAAATATACGCGATTTAAATCCGGAAAAATAGTTTCATTTCCTATGTGTAACAATCGCGAAAACCTAAGAACTCGATAAATAAAATAATAATTTATTGCAGACAATTTACAGTCCATTTTGTTAGTACGCTTATATAATCAAACAATCAAACTAATATAATCTACTACAACACAAAAGTAGTACAAAAGTTACAGAATAACATTGAAAAGAAAATGAAATTAATAAATTAATTAATTAATAAAAATGACTACAAGATAAAATTACTACATGACACCAACTAATCGCTCTTTAAGGTGGAGTTCACGAACATTCGAGGACTCCACAGTAACATCCACGCCGTCCACCAACATCTTGAGACGGCTCGACCAGAAATGCTGTTCCTTACGGAGACGCAAATACTCTGCCCGGCTGACAGCAGCTACTTGATTTACCCTGGCTATATGCTTGAAGAGTCCTTCAAAGCGAAAGCTGGGGTCTGCTTGTTTGTCCGGGCAGATGTTTGCTGTCGCCGTCTGCGTCATTTGGAGGACCCCTCCTTCTCCATCCTTGGGGTACATGTTGACCTGGGTAGTCATTGCCGTGTCTACATGTGCCTCTACAGATCCCACCACGGCGACATGGAGACAACTCGTCTCATAGACCACCTTACTCGGGCGGCAGATGACGCGCAGGCGCAGTTTCCTACAGCGGAATTGGTGTTTTTAGGGGACTTCAATGCTCACCACGAGTCGTGGTTAAGTTCCTCTAAAACTGACCATGCTGGAAGAACTGCCCACACATTCGCTCTCACACACGATTTAACCCAACTGGTAAACCAGCCCACCCGGATTCCAGATAGGGTTGGTGACGCGCCCTCTTTGTTGGACCTTCTGCTGACGTCTCGCCCGGCTGGATATCGGGTGGAGGTCCAAGCCCCTCTGGGCACTTCGGATCACTGCTTGATATCCACTAAAGTGGCAACGTTACTGCCACCACCACCTACTGTGGCTAAACGCCGCATTTGGCATTATGCGTCGGCAGATTGGGACGGTATGCGGGACTATTTTGCATCCGTTCCCTGGCGGCAGCGCTGTTTTAGTGAGGTGGATCCAACAGCTAGCGCGACTGCCGTTGCTGATGAGATCTTAATCGGGATGGAATACTACATCCCGCATTCGGATCTCGTCAGTAAAGGGAGGCGTAACCGCTGGTTCAACCGCGAGTGTGCTGTGGCTGTTGAGAACAAACAGACTGCATACCGCGCTTGAATCAAGGGTCGAGCTTCAGACGATCCCAATGCGAACTCACTTAAAACAGCCTACAATAATGCCACCAGGTCTTGCAAAAGAGCGTACATCAGAGCGGATGCTCAGCGCGTCGCACGAGTTGGCCAAGAACTCCTGACGCATCCCACTGGTAGTCGTAGCTACTGGCGTCTGGCCAGAGCTGTTGCGTCGAACTTCTGCCAGCCCTCGCTGCCCCCGCTGAGATATTCTGATGGCAATCTAGCCCACAAGCCGCAAGATAAAGCCGACCTCTTGGCAAATCTGTTTGCGGCTAACTCCTGTCTCGACGACTGTAACGCACAGCCACCAACTCTACCTCACTGTGGCTACACGATGTCTGATATTCGTATCAGACAATGCGATGTGCGTACGCAGCTGCAGTCTCTCGACGTCCGGAAAGCTAGTGGTCCTGATGGTATCCCAGCGATTGTACTTAGGAACTGCGCAGCTGAGTTGACCCCCGTGCTAACGCGACTGTATCGTCTGTCGCTCTCTTCAGGTCGTGTGCCGGACTCTTGGAGAGAGGCTAATGTGCAACCAGTTCCCAAAAAAGGCGACCGATCAGACCCGCATAATTACCGTCCCATAGCCATTACTTCCATAATATGCAAGGTTTTAGAGCGGATCCTTAACAAACAACTGACCCAATACCTAGAAGATCACTCCATAATTAATGATCGGCAGTATGGGTTTCGTCCGAAACGATCAACGGGTGACCTTCTAGCGTCCTTATCGCATATTTGGGGTGAGGCTATAGACAAACGTGGCGAGTCGTTGGCTGTTAGCCTCGATGTAGCCAAAGCGTTCGATCGGGTCTGGCACAAAGCTCTTCTCTCCAAGCTCCCGGCGTACGGTTTGCCAGCCCAGTTATGCAGCTGGATTGCCGATTTCCTTCGTGAGCGGAGAATTCGCGTCGTTTCTGACAGCAGCATTTCGAGGTTCGTGAATGTGAACGCCGACGTACCGCAGGGATCCGTCCTATCTCCCACGCTTTTCCTTCTGCATATCAATGATATGCTTCCGTGTAGACGAACTCCGCGCATTTCGTTTAGAAATGAGCCAAACCAGGGAGGAACTTATAGGCTTGCGTCAGGACTTGTATGAGCTGCGGTCGACCGTTCGCTCCTGTGAGAACCGTCTGAATAAAGTAGAAGAGACGGTACAAACACTTTTGGAGGCGCAGGCTAGTGGTTCTGGAAGTGATTCTGGCATAATTAAGGTAGTTGAGGCGCTGGAAGCGAATGTAGCTAGGCTACAGAATGACCTAAACGACCGCGATCAGGAGTTACTGGCCAACGAACTAGAATTTAGCGGCCTGCCTGAAGAGATTGGAGAAAATCCAATGCATCTCGCGTTGGCATGTGCTGCCAAGCTCGGCGTACCGCTGGAGGAGCGCGATGTGGTAAGCTGCGCGCGCGCTGGTGCTCTGAGGCGCGAGGTGGGCGCGCGTCCCCGGCCGCTGGCACTACGGCTAGCGCGTCGCGACACACGTGAGGACTTGCTGCGCGCTGCGCGCGTGTGTTGTCACGTTACTACAGAGGGTCTGGGCCAGAAGAGCGAACCGCGGCCTTTCTATGTTAACGAGCGGTTAACAAAGTTGAACCGGCACCTCTTCTATAGGTCGAGGCAAATAGGTAGTCGTCTACAATGGAGGTACATTTGGACCAAAGATGGCAGAATTTATGCGAGGAGGGATACCGAAGCCCCGGCTCATCGAATTCGCAGTGAAGCGGATCTGCTGAAAACTTTTGGGCCCGACGGCGTTCGTTCACAGACAGCAGAATCCTAAAAGAATTAGGGACTTATTTGTTACTTTTAATTAAATTAATAACACTAAATTTAGTAAAAATTTCAATGTACTGGCATATGTGTGGCAGTGGTTTAGTCGCAAGGCATTACAAGGTTCTCAACATTTATACCATTATTGTCATATTTTTACACTCGACCACAATTATTTATATTATTGGTTATAAATCGATACATATACAAACAAAACACATTGTTACACACACTTACTATATACAGGATTTAAACGAACACAACACTCAACAGGCATTTCACAAAAATAAAGTAAACAAACAGGTTAACTATCAAAATGGATTAGTACGATTCTTAAAGATAAGCTACCAACTTGTATTTATAACTTTATATACATGTTATCATCCATATATCATGGCGTTATATTATTGTTACTTTGATATTGTCCACAAAGTGCTAATCATAAATAATTTGTTTAATTGTAATTTTAGTGTATATTCGTATTCAAATTTAATTTAAAAAGTAAACTTAAGTTAGGATTACTAAATGTGGGTTCATTAGGCACACGTCATGATGAATTTCTGGTTGCAATGGAACGACACGATGTTGATATTATGGCCATTAACGAGACTTGGTTAAGAGAAGGCGAAGACGGTCGAGCACCCTCGGTGCCTGGTTACCGGCTACGTCATATTCCTCGCCCTGCCGCCGTGCGTTCGCGCGGTGGTGGGGTCGGCTTCTACATACGACAGGGCATCGCGGTCCGTATATTGCCTCATCCGCCGGCTCCGCTCGTAGAACAAATGTGGCTGTGTTTGAATATTGCTGGCATGAAGCTACTGATAGGGACAGCGTACAGACCCCCGTGGCTAAATGTAGACACTTTTATAGACGCATTGGCTGAGAGTCTGGGCTGTTTCTCATGGTGCAACAAAGTAGTTCTGTTAGGAGATTTTAATGTTGATTTATTGCACCAATCACATATCGATACCAAAAAGATTACATATTTTCTAACGTGTCATACATTGAAACAATGTGTGTCCGAACCCACTCATTTCACAGAGTATAGTGAAACTCTTATTGATACCATTAGTACCGACGTGGATAATACTGTGGTACGAGTCGAATACATACAAGCGCTGAGTCACCATGCTTTTATTACATGCCTCTTAAATGTTGTGAAGTCGAAGCCAGCATCAACAAAGATAATTCGCAGAAACTTGCAAGGTATTAACAGTAAACAATTTGAACTAGATCTTAATGCAATAGACTGGATGAGTATAAGCAATTTAGGTGATGTTGATCATATGGTGGGGCAATTCAATGAACGATTAGTGGCGTTGTTTGATATACATGCACCACTCCGAGTGTGGCATACTAAGCATCACCAGTATCCGCGGATTACATATAATGTAAAGCAGCTGATGAAGCGTAGAGATGAAGCCCATGTTGTAGCACGCAAAAACGGTAAAGATTCGCAAAATACTTACTATAAGGAACTCAAAAAAGCTGTAAATGATGTGTTGCATAGTGAAATAAAAGCTTATTACGATCATTACATTAATAATCAGAGAGATTCCCGGGTCTTATGGAAACATATTAAAAGAAATATTAGGATAAATTGTAAACAAGAGCTTCCTGTAAATATTTATAATGAACCCAATTTAATAAATGATCATTTTTTGAATCTACCCGGTAATGCACAAGCCGCTTTAACAGACATGACATTTTTTGAACAAAACTGTAACGTTTCTGAAAAATTCGTACTGGAGAGAGTAGAAGAAATTGAGGTTCTCCAAACTATGCGTTCGTTGAAATCAAAGGCGGTTGGTCTTGATGGTATTTCGTCAGACATGTTGCTGTTGTCATTGCCCACCACATTATCCGTTGTAACAGCTATGGTAAACAGATCCATTGAAACGAGTACGTTTCCAGCGGACTGGCGGAATGCAGTAATACGGCCTATCCCGAAAATTAATAATCCAACCACCTTACAAGATATTCGACCAATAAACATACTGCCATGCATGTCAAAGGTTTTGGAAAAGATCGTGGTGAAACAATTGACAAACTTTTTAGAAAAGAATAAAATTCTTCCTACTACACAATCTGGTTTTAGGAAAAAGCATAGCACAGCAACTGCCATGGTCCACGTTGTTGATGATATCTTAACTGCTCAAGACAGTGGACAGGGGACCTTGTTGACACTGTTAGATTTTTCCAGAGCCTTTGACTGCATAAATGTCAACTTACTGTTATCAAAGCTTCATTATTACGGGTTTAGTGAGTCTACCGTTAAATGGTTTGACAGCTATCTAAAGAATCGATTTCAGTGCGTAGAACTGTCAAACCAGAGCGGATCAAAATTACTATCGGAGTCACGTGACGTCACACGAGGAGTGCCTCAAGGCTCAATTTTGGGTCCGATCCTTTTTATTATCTACAGTGCCGATGTAGTGCAACATATTAAACACTGTAGATATCATATTTATGCTGACGATATACAGGTTTACATTTCATGTAAACCATGTGATGTTCGTACAGCTGCGGATAAGTTAAACGAAGACTTAGAACGTGTAGCCCTTTGGGCTGAATCAAATGCGTTAGTACTAAATGGCAATAAATCCAAATACATGGTTTTCGGTACAAGAAACCAAATAGCAAAAATCGTAGATCACGGAGTTACTCTGGCCATTAGGGGTGAGGTCATTGCACGAGTAAGTGAGGCTCGTAACCTTGGTCTCGTTATGGACGAACATCTTCGCTTCGAAAATCATGTACTGGGAACGGTTCGAAATTGTTTTTATAGATTAAAGATATTGTATAACATTAGGAATTATCTAACAGTACAAACGCGTGTTAAATTATGTGACTCGTTGGTTTTATCTAAGTTTAACTATATGGACGTTGTTTACGGGCCGCGTCTACTAGCGCATACGCAGAAGCAAATTCAACGAGTGCAGAATGCATGTGCAAGGTTCTGCTTTAATGTACCACCACGCATGCACGTAACTCCTTATATTAACGAAGCAAATATTTTAAAGATGAGAGCGCGGAGAGATTTACATTTGGCAACTTTGTTGTTTGGCGTTATCAAATACGAGGTACCGCCTTATCTGGCTAAAAAGTTGGTATGGTCACGCGACGTAAAAACCTCCTTCACCAGAACGTTGAACTGGACGATGGTAGTACCACGCCACCATACCGCTGCATTCCGTGGCAGTTTCAAGTTCACCGCAGCGAAGATATGGAACGTCCTGTTGCCTCCGCCACTTCGTAGTCTGAAATCAGTGCACACTTTTAAAATCAATTATAGAAAATATCTCTTGGATAACCAAAAAAGAACAGTGTGATTTCACTTGTGCACTTACCGCGCTGGTTTCGACTCATAGCATTGGTGTACGGCGGCCGATATCTTCATTGTTATCGCTGCGGTTTTCGTGATAGGGCAGTTGAGGCATGCTCCTTGAAATTTATTCAATGATTATTAATTAATTTATTTTTATTTTTTAATATTTTTTATATATAATCCAATCTAATTAATCTGATATTTTGATTATTTGTTAATTTAATGATCATGTTCCATCATTTATGTTTGTATTTATAATATAAATTTATAAGAGCTCGATATTATACAATACTTACAAAATACTTTAGAAATATACAGTACTTTAGAAATACACTAGTAATAGCTCTAATCGTAATAATACGTACCGTTATGGTGTAGGACACTGCGTGTTTCATTCTGTAAACAAAACAACGGAGCGAACTGCGTTGTGCTGGCTGTCGAATAGCGTCCTCTCCCCCTTACTTCTCCCCGCGCACCTTTCGTCACAATCCGACTCGGACGAGGATCGAGAATAATTTTATTTGTTAGATAATTACGTTACCACACTATAAACACACACAGAGGGTATATTCATATTTTATATATATATTTTTGTTATATTTATGTAGATTTAATATAATATAACACACACAGCAGTAACACAATGCACAAAATACACTTACATAGACAAATATTTAAGTAGGTAGTTTATTTTATTTTGCGACACACACGTCTGTCACTCATCTCGGATCAGGGCTCATTGAAAACCAGCGCCACAGTCAATTCTGGCTGTGGTAAAAGCTGAATGTAGTCCCTTTGCGTACGCCACGACTGCACAAATGACTGAACAATTTGTTGTTATTGTGCTTTTGTTTTTTTTTTCTTTTTTTTCCTTTTTTGTTTGTTTTGATAATTTTAATGTTTTCTTTTTTCATTTGTTTGTTTTACGTATGTCTATTTTGTTTATTAATTATTATTACTGTTATTATTTTTAATTTTAATGTTCATCGTACTGTGTTATAATTCATTTTTTTTTTTGTATCATGTGTTGTGGCGTCGCAATAAATGTCTATTCTATTCTATTCTATTCTTCCACTTGGGAATATTCATTGTTATGCAGATGATAGCACTGTTCATGGGGGATATCACGGATTCCCCGCAGCTGGGCGCGCCGATACTGACAGAGAGCGATCTGATCTTGTCGTTGAGCTCAATAGAATATTGGACCTCATCTCTGCATGGGGATCTAGTAATCTTGTTGAGTTCAACGCCAAGAAAACACAGGTTTGCGCGTTAACAACAAAATTGTCGCCGTTCCTTCCCATGCCTTCTCTGATGAGCACAGCACTTTCACCTCAGAGCAGTTTTACCTTGCTCGGTATGGAAATCTGCTGTGATTTGAATCCAAGGAGGTACATCGAATCTGTGATCAAAACAGCCTCACGCAAACTCGGAGTCCTGAACAAGGTGCGACGTTTTTTCACGCCGGACCAGTTATGCCTGCTGTACAAAACACAGGTGCGGTCTTGCGTTGAGTATTGTTCGCACTTGTGGGACGGCTCCGCCAAGTACCTACTCGATGCCTTGGATAAATTACAGCGTCGTGCTACTCGAATTATAGGCGACGAAGAGGTCTCATCACGCCTTGAACCTCTGCAACTGCGTAGAGATGTTGCATCGCTTAGCGCCTTTTACCGCATGTACCATGGTGAGTGCTCTGAAGAGCTGTTCAACCTCATCCCCCCTTCCCCGTTCCTGCTCAGAAGCACGCGTGCTGGCCTTCGTAGTCACCGTTTCACTACCTGCCGAATTCCATCGCGTACTAAAAGGTTCGGTGGCTCCTTTCTCTGCCGCACGGTTGACAAATGGAACTCCCTTCCGGCACATGTCTTCCCTCCCTCTTATGATATGGGGTCCTTCAAACGAGGCGTGAAGAGGCATATTGTAGGCAGGCAGGGTGGAGGTGGCTAGTGCAGTGAGGATTTCATCGCTGCACTAGGTTCCTTCGCGTTTGGATACCACTTTCCACTTAACATCAGGTGGAGTGGAGTCATTTGCCTGTCATGTATAAAAAAAAAAAATTAAAAAAACTAAGTTCACTGAGCTCCGAGGACGTGAAGTTCAGTGAACCTAGCAAGGAGATCGAGTCCCACCTATCCCCTATCATTTTAAGAACTGTTTGAGCTGACTCGCACTCTACGCAGGCAAGATACCATCTTTTTTCGCATTATTGCGTAAAAACCCTCTACACTTGCGTCGGCAAACATCCCTGACGCACTGCAGTAGCCAGGAAACCCAAACAGAGCCTTGAACATTGTTATACAAAATACGCAGGGAGTTGTAAAGTCTTTACTTTGACTTACTGATCTATTTTGGTACTGTAGCGTTCTACAGTCACACGATATCTCCAAGACGCAGAGCGTTTACTATCGATTTATAATCGACTTAACAAAATAATCTACCTACATGGTAGTTATAAAATATAAATTCGTGGAACGTCTACATAAAAATATGATTATATTATTGAACGCTACGATCGTTTATTTTTTATCAACCATTTTGTTTTAATGTTAAACACGCGCACTCTGCCCTGCATAATGTGTTTACATAAATCAGAATTTTTTTATGCAAAGTTGGTAAGCGAAACGCCTGTCCGTAACAGTTGTAGTGCTACTTATTGCCACTGCGCCCGTAACCCTGAGACATAAGATGACAAGTCCATGTTCCTATAATTTCACCAGCACACCCTTACCCTTCAAAACCGGGACGTGGTAATCCTCGCATTACTGCTTGGCGGCAGTACTTCCCTGAACGAACTCTTTCTCGAAGAGGTCTACCGTGCCAGACGCTCTTCCAACAGAACTACGGAATGAACCTGCAGAACTTACGAATTTTTCTATACGCTTATCGCAAACATTTGTTTTGGTTTTTAATTTGTAAACAGAAAGAAAATATTCCAAAAATGTATTACATACCTCATGGCCTCTGTACGCCACACGATCACCATAAGTTACCTGAACGGGGATACCTTTATCCCTACGTAATGACCTTATAATTTACCACACTAACTCTGTGTGAGCAAAGGATAATAAAAAAAACATTTTGAACCTTCACCGAAATGTGGGTTTTTTAAAGAGGTTTTAAACTATTTATTATTATATTAAATGAGATCATGCAGTTTTTTATTTGTTACAGATTGATTAATCAGCATATTATCAAATAAAGAAATCGTTACCACATGTCAGTCACAGGCACAGATTGATTAATCAGCATATTATCAAATAAAGAAATCGTTACCACATGTCAGTCACAGGCAATAAAAGAGGACTGGATGGGAAGAGCAAACGAGAAACTAAGATTTTCAAGATGGCATCGCAAGTTGAAGTAGACGGGCGACCTTGCGATGACGACGACGATTACATTGAATATGAAGGTTACAATACAAGCTCTCGTATTGACCTTTATGGTTATGGTCGACGAGAAAATACCAAATTCAGAGATGGACAAAGGTGCAAAAAAAAAACAATCAAATTGCTCGAGAATTTGCCCAAAGCGTCGCGTTTTAGCCCATTACTGCCCAAAAACGTGAGTGGAAACGGCGAATACGGAGGTTGGTATAATTCCATACTTATTACAAATTTCTACGTAAAAAATATTTTTTAGACGAAAAAGAATCAACTTCACAAATATCCACCTGCAATCCTGAGGATACTCACCAATAAGGATGAACAGTATGGTTCGATTCTTATGAAGATCAATTAAAGTACATGCGATCGAACGATTATTTCTATCGATTTATTTTAATGCTATTTTCAAACGATTCGATACAATAGACAGACAAATCGAATCGTCTAGATCAGAAAGCAATAAACATTTACTAATAAAATTTGAACAAAACTCGATTTACAACAAATTTAGCGGTCAATAAATTATGCCCTCGATTTCGGGCGTTAATAGTTTTAACCCTTCTTTTCGTCTCTGATACAAGCGCCAAATAGCATGGCAATAGCGATCATTCACGCGACTTTCATCCTGAACACATATTTCGCAGCGACCAGTCGCCGATTCCCTACAAAACTGTCGCAATTTTGGCGTCGCATGAATATCATAATCAAAGTCAATGATGTAACTTAAAAAATAAATTAAATTGAGGCATATCATTCAGTGAATTTGAAGATTTGGATCTTGTTTAGAGCTGCTTATAAATCTATTCGAGTTATATTATGCTTGACATCTAAAATCTTGGAATAACAATGGATTACGTCATAATTTACCTCTATCAGACTAACAGCTTGACAGCTTCGATACTCCTGACGGAAAAAGAAGGCAGTTGTATAACTTTGCAGCCTTTGTCTGTATATCTGTTTATCTGATCGTAGCTCCTAACCAGGTTGACTGATCTCAAAGTTTTGTTTTTTATTTGTAAGCTATTTTAATCGGAATGGTTCTTAGCTATGCCAAACTGTTTAAAGATATCAACTCTTTTTTCTGTTAGTGTTATTGCGGCCAAAACACGAACATTTATTTTTATTTCCACCTGGATCGACTTGAAATTATATGGTAATCTTGATCTGATGTTGCAACCAGGACCTTATGCAGACTATCCAAATCCTCAGCTAGTCACAGCAGAACTATGGTGTTTGGGTTTATTAAATTGGTCTCGGCGAGTCGTTAGGTTGCAGATGGTAACTAGCATCCGATGATGAAACAGGAAGGTGAACACAGAAACGTACATACCTTTATTGAAAGTAGACCCACCGGGCTTGTATTCGTTGGATTTGGTCTCGGCGAGTTGTTAAGTTGCAGATGGTAACTAGCATCGGATGACGGAGCAGGAAGGTGGACACAGGAACGTACCTTCATTAAAGGTAGACCCACCGGGTTCGTATTCGTTGGATAGGTCTCGACGAGTAGTAAGGTTGACAGATGGTGATTTTATTAGTTTTTTAGAATGCGCTGATTTGTATCGGGGTTTTTAATTTTTATGTAAATTTCAGCAACTAGAGAACATTCTTCTGGCTGATAACGAAGACGACTAACGTAGATGCACAGAATTTGAATTCACCATAATTTTCGTTTGCACGTATCTACACCACAAGTAGATGGCGTTTCACATAGAATATTGAATTCTACAGGTGCGCGAGAGAGTGACGATATGACTGAAGAACCGGTTGATAGAAACGCAGATGCAAATGAAAAGGATATAACAACTGATGCCATACCGAGTAAACGTCCGAAATTATCTTCATATGTAAAAGGTATGTTTTAAGCCCACTGTAAAAGGGTCAGCAAAGAGTAAATAGGACCTCGTAATTGTTTGAGATATCTATTTCCATGAAGTTGAAAAAATTTAGTAAGAAAAAATACATTAAATTTCAACTCTTTTACACGTGTTATAATGACGGAAAGGTAAAAGAGAAATTGTATGAAACGATATAATTTTAAGTGTACATATTATTATTTCCGATTAAAGTTGTTCAATGTCATGAACATTTTTAAATCCCTAAACGACTGTAACGAATTTTCGGAAAGGTTCTGTTTCTGGTTTGACAGTATTGATTTTCTTTAATGGAGCGGCAAGTATGTAGAAAAAAGTAACTATACCCCTGAAACTTTGCTTTTGTGACTGTCACAGTGGTATTTGCATAGCTGCCCATTGACATAGTGGTATTTACCTAAATAATCTCGCAAATCTGCACATTATGTATCTAGATTCTTTGTCATCAATTGGTAGAGCCATTTGTTTTGTATTGTAATTGGCATAGCCATTGGTAGAGCAAAAAGGGAACATTATATTTAAAATCTATAATAAATTTCAAGTATAGCGTCACGTTTTATTATACATAATAAAACGTGACGACGTAGTGGAAACGCGCCCTTACGAGTACAAGATCTCACAATTGTTAAAAATGTAAGGCATTCTTCCCGATGTAGTGGAAATGAGATACTTATAGCGTTCTTGTATCTCGACCGTCTCTCTGTTAGATTCCTTTCTCTTGGAAGCTATACCAAAGAGAAGTGTTATCAGGGGAAAAAATGTGAGATAATCACACCAAAATTTTGATCTCAAATTAGGGAATTTCCTGTACTGTGAATACCAGAATAACGATAACTCGAGCAATATCCAGATCATTTACACCAAAGCCAACCTAGAAATGTTCGTTTCCTAAATTGGTCCAAATCGGGAATCGAACCAGGAATCTCCTCATCAAGCGCCCATAGTACTAACCGCTGCGCCACCGAAAAGCGTAAGCACACCCCGGAATCTGAACCCGACCACGCGCCGCATGCTGAGCCCGACCCCAACGTAGGTGAGGTACAGGGCTCGTAGTATAAAAGTCTGTTATTAATTGTATACGGATTCTGAGGGTCTACTCTCGAACTCCGTCCGACATCCGTCCGAAACAATTACTGCCAAATAAGCAATACTTGACCAAATGAAAAGACGCGTGATGCGAATGAAGCTTCATACTGGATACTTGTCTTTTAATACTACTTATTATACTCGTCTCTATTCTTCAAATCCGCACAAGTAATTATGGCGTACACTTCGGCCTGAAAGACAGAGGAGTGTCGTCCCATGTTCAGCTCGTAGCTGAGCTTGGGTTTCACGCCGTGTATACCACAGCTTACGTTGGGTCCCATCTTAGACCCATCAGTACACCTTAGGAGGCTACCGTCCTTCCAGGTGAGACTGTTAGTTTCTCAGTCCTCCCTAGTTGGAAATTCTATATGGTAGAGTTTTTTAAAGTTTTAAAAGGGAAGCATGACATCAGAAGTTATTCCCAGAACAGAGTGTTCCAGAATTGAGTCTTGGGCTGATCTCAATGTCTGGGAGACCCATCTACTCCTTAACCTAGTAGTAAGCCGATACATGCTGGTACTGGCCTCTCTCTGTATGAATAAATGCAGAGGAGTCAGGTTCAGCAATGCATTTAGGGCCACCCCAGGTGAGGTGGACATGGCTCCCGTTGCTAGCAGGCAAGCGATGCGCTATAAACTGTTTGGCTGACTTTGACACTCCAAGCAACAGAGGCGTAAGTCACTATGGGCCTCACAATTGCCTTATATAACCAGAGAGTCATCTTTGATTTTAGACCCCAACGCTGTCTCGCCATGCGGCTACAGACACCTAAGGCCATTTTGGCCTTGTTGATCGTATTAGCTATATGGCGGTTCCACCTTAGGGTTTGATCTAGGGTTATCCCTTTATATTTGACTTCTGGGAAAAGCCCACAGCCCTCCCACCAAGAATCGGTTCCATTAGCTTGTCTTGTTTCCGTCTCCTGGTGAAGGGGACAATGGTTGTCTTTTCCGCAACAACAACGACACCACGCGGGAATGGTGTCAAGTGCTCCTTGCATAAGTGATGATATAGTATTTTGGCAGTGCCCTCGAACTGTGATCACCCGGTCATCCGCGAATCCCTGAACGTCAATATTCAGTTCAGCCACAGCGAGAGTCCACAGAAGAGGAGAAATTACCCCACCTTGCGGGCAACCCCATACAGTGGAGGCTACAAGCCGGTCCCCATGTAACGAGATACTGGCCCTGCGGCTTAAAAGCATGTTCTGTACCCATCTCGTGGTTGAAGTGTCTACACCTTTGTAGGTTAGGCTCTTCACCAGAGTACGGATGGGTGTATTGCCAAATGCGCCCTCAATGTCTAGAAAGGCACATAGTGCTATTTGTTTGTCCTCAAACGCTCTTTCAACCCTGTCCACAAGGTGGAGCAGAGCTGTCTCTGTGGACTTTCCACTCTGGTAATTTATTATCTGATTATTAAATAAGATATTAAAAAACCAATTTATAAGGTTTCGTTTCGCTAATTCTAGATATGTTAAATAACTCAATTGTGCTAAAATGTAGATTACGTTAATTATGATAAGGAAGGCAGTATAAGTACCCACTAGAAATTACCTTATTTTAGTCTAATGTTTGGTTTATTAATCATACGATCTATTATTTTAAGGCGATTTTGATGATTCGAAACTAGACATGGAAGATAGTGATTCATCATCTGAAATACATGTTGATGATAGAAACACGAGAGCTCTAGCTGCTGATGAACCAACATACAAACTGGAAACATTCGAAAAGAATGCTATGATAATATTCAATCAATATCATGTTGAGGGATATAAACCTAGAGTCGGCACTGAAGAGGACGGGACGCGTATTACAGAAACTCTACAAGGATTCAATTTTGAAGGAAAACAATATATGGATTGTACAAAGAAGCAAATTTTTAAAAAATTGGAGAAATGTAAGCCTGTTTTCGTTATTTTTTTTAATTAATGGTTCCTCATCAACGCATCGAGGATTTAGGCGATAGTCTTAGTAGTCTTATAGGGTTGGGGACTTCACACGTTTTCCGAGGGTTGTGAACTTTCTTCGACGTGCATCACAATATTTTCCGAAAAGCTCATAGAATTTCTAATTAAATTTCGCACATAAATTCTGAGAAATTCAGTGGTGCGAGCTCGGATTCGAACCCACGGCCACTGCTTGAGAGTAGGGTATGCAAACCGGTTACCGATTAACCGAATAACTTTCCATTTTGGAACCCGGTTTTTCAGCTAAGGAAAAGCCGGGTTTTTCGGGATTTTCGATTTTGTATTTTGTGTTTAAACTATTAAAACGTAAATTCGTAACTCATAATATCGTCGTAAGCTAGTTACTAATGATAAATAAACTTTAATTAAATGCTAGGAACTCGGGTACCTAACTACTGGACAGCGACAGCGTCATCGAGACGAAGACTGGTAGCTTCTGAGGTTTTTAGTAACTTTTAGCGAGGGGTGAGCGAGGTGCGAGAGGGAGGTTCGCGAGCAGTATAGCAACAAATCCGAGTCACCTGTGCTCTTGGCACGCTTTTCAACTAAATCAAAGGCGGTTAGTTGATATTCAGCAGAACTATACCATAGGTGGCAGCAGTACGCTATACACGACCGGATCTGTGCTTGTTACAGCTTTTTTGAAGCAATTCTTCCGGTGTGAAGTAACACCTCACCTTGGAAAGGATGTCATGCTTCATGGTTATGACGCGCGCTACCGCGATGCGCTCCTCCTACCGCAAAATGGCGGCTATTTGGTTTCGCAAAATAGAAAAGGATTCAGTTTAAATAGAAGTTTTTTATAAATAAAAATTATTATTCTGCATTGCTAAATAAATACCCTCCGTACTACCAACAAAAACATCTCAAATAAAATGCAGTAATACACCGCCAATCCTGCACTTAAAAAGCACTAATAAAATTTTTGGTATACTTGGATAAATATGATAATATTCCGTTTGAGTGGTTCTAACGTTTACCATGAAATTACTCCTTAAAGTATAATTTATAAACATTTATATTCAGGGTAAACTTAAAAAACGCTACTTACGGTATGTTTTCAATAAATAAACACCGAAATCACCAGCCCAAACAATAACACACACGATTGTCGTGACGTATTTTTGAAGTTGTGACAATTAACAAACAAACAATTAACTTTACCTTTCGATTTTAAAAAAAGAACATTGATAGGCGTTGCGCCGCGCTAAAACAGGAAAATCTGCTGGAAGGGATGACACGAATGTAGTGTGAAGGCCAGCCTTAGAATGAATGTCAGGAAAACTAAATTCATTTTTATCTCTAAAAATTGTGGTCTCCAGCCCAGTACATCAGTCACAAGACAAAGATTTGAGCGGGTCTGCTACCTGAAGACTGAGACATTGAAACAGAAATTAAAACCGGCATTGAAGTTGCCAGGAGTGTCTTTAATACTATAAGGAAAATATTATGCTACCGTTGTCTTAAGATTCCTTTGCGCACTCGACTTCTTCAGTGTTACATCTGGCCAATATGGATGTGAGGCCTGAACAATAAAAGAGCATCTCATGAAACGTATTAAAGCATTTGAAATGTGGGCCTACAAAAGAATGTTGTACTTATCATGGACTCAGAAAGCCTCAAAAGTCAGAAAGAAAGTAAGAAATTCTGCGACTAGTTGGACAAAAGCTTAAACTTTTGCAGATCATCAAACAGCGAAAAGTTGCATATCTGGGTCACATACTTGACATGATACGAGCTTCTGCAACTGATAATGATGGGAAAAGTCGCTGGTAAAAGGAAGGCTGGTCGTAGAAAAAAATCGTAGCTGTAGTACAAATGAGAGTAGACTGGGATAGCGAGCGCCGCCCAACTGTTCAGCCTCGCCAGAAATAAAGATAAATATGCTGAGCTGACTGCTAATCTTCACTAGTTGGAGAGGCACCTTAAGAAGAAGATCTTTGTTCATAAATACGGGCGTAAGTATCACTTGGTAAAAAGTGCGTTTCCAAACTCGTTCGTTTCATTATCTCAAACTACACACTCGTTGGTAATCGGTCAATTTCTCCACTTGGTGAAAAATGTACTATTCTAGACACCCTATGGTCATATAGAATATACAACGTTAAATTTGAATACACTGGGCGTTTACCCATCATCTCCATCTCCGTGGTGGAATCTTCATCCACTCTCGCTATATTTTTCAAAATATATCAAATTTAAATATATTCACATCACCAGTCAGCCCGTGCCCACGGCCAGTGCTACCTGGTCAAAACGTCGGGAAAATAGGTAAGTGTGAAAATACCTGTTAGTGTTTAAACCCGTTTATTCCCGTTTTCAAATGTTAATACAATACAACGCGAAAGTTTAAAAGTGTACAAAGAGATAATATTGTCTGGGTCTAAATCACTTCACATATATGTACTCGGGGTCTAAGGAGCTTAATTAAGCTGCTAATCAGCTATCATATAAATTAATCTTTACAGTTAGCAAAATGGATTTTACCGACTACGGTTGCGTGGCGGTAGTCGTGATGACCCACGGCGGAGCTAAAGGCCGTCTGATGGCAAAAGATGATTGGTACAGCGAGCAAGACATCCTCGAGTATTTCAAGCACAAGGACAAACCTAAACTGGTCACCAAACCTGTCGTCGTGATTATTCAGGTCAGTTTAGACTGGTTTCGTAGTCACGTTGACGGCCTGTGTTGGCAACAAACGTTGGCCGTCAATGGCGACATGAAGAGGTCAGGCTTAGTCAGGTCAGGTCAGTGATTTCGAAACCAGTCCGGACAGTTTTAGCCGTGGGGCGACGGCTTAAGAATACATTGTCGCCTCCCCATACATGCCCGTGGGGGTCGTAAGAGGCGACCGAGGGCGTCACAAGTGTCCATCTGCTTAGCATTGTGGTAGGCTCTGTGCCGACTGGATAGCGACCACAGTACACACGGCGGAAAACCCTCCACAGTGAAACGCTTTTGCGAATCGCGTTCAGGGATCAGTTGGTGTACATCCAGTGCATTTGGCCAGACTGGCAAAATGATAGTGACGGAGTGAAGATATTTGTGTTTTCCATCCGTTACTCTCATCTCTGGACTGTATTCGCACTTTCCATCAGGCGCGGTGCAGTCATTTTGTCGAGTCGCAATAAAAATAAAAAAAAAAAAAAAAAAAACAGTCCAATTCGGACACGGGGCTCAGCTTCTCCCAAACAACTTTTACAGCTTTTAACTCTGCGCTGCTTGTAGCAAAGGCAGAAGATGAGGTTAATTTATTAAATGATTATTTAGTCGCTATACTGCGAATAAAATCGGCGTATAAAAATTAATTAGAAACAATTTCGATGCCCGGGTTCGATTCCCGGTCCTGGAGAAATATTTGTATGGCCTACATTCATTTCTCTCGTGAGTTTGAGCAGAGAACAAAAAAGTAACGAGAATGGACACTCTCTGCTCCTTCCTGGCTTTAGATACCGCACCACGCCCCCACGTTGATGGTCGCATTGACTGAACGGCAACAAGGCTATCGGCGAGCCGTTTCCGCGCTAAGACGGCTTTTATTATTTGAATATAGTTTTCATTTATTCATTAAGAAACTTGTACGTTAATATATAACATCATCGTACATTCCTATTTATAACGGTCGTTAGTTGTGCTGTGTACAATTATTTATCATGATCTAAACGGCATAAAGAGAGGAGTTTCTTTCGTTTTCTAAAACATAAAACGAGGTAAGTAAAAAAACTTATGTCTGAAATTCATTCAGTTATTGTTTTCTTCATTTATTTAGTGCAGAGTATAATATAATCTGTATAATAATACAGATTTATTATATCAATATAATGAGAGGTAATACATTCGACAAGGGTTCTCGAATTTTCAATTTGTATTTCCGATGATTATGTAGTGAATATAATTATTAACTAAGTAATGATACAGTTGATTACCTTATTTAAAAGTAAATATCTACCTGTCCAAAGTATAACATTTTAAGTGCCTTAAAATATTTTTTTTGAATAAACCTTTAGGATAATTCTACTTAGTGAATTAAAGAAAAATATAATAGTATATTGATATAAATACCTAATGAACAAGTGTAATTATTAGGATTCTATTAATAGAATTATAGATAACAGATTTGCGTTAGAATGTGATGGGTAACCCTGCCACTTCACGCACACATTTGCGCGTGTGCAGATAGCGCCTTGCTGTATGTAGTAATAGTAGGTAAATAACTTTCGACCGTTGTATGGAATGTCCGGGGTGTGATTTGGGTGTACTTTGTGATGTACTATGTGTCTATGGCATCTGCGCGCAGGGTTTCCCTAGTACGGGGCTATGAGTGTGTGGAAAAAATAACAACACAATAGAAGACAAATATATATATACATATATATAGTTAAAACAAATAAGCTTGCTTAGAAGCATGTCAGAAAGATTCATGACTCAGCATCTGAGAACTATGATAATAACATTGCCCTCGCTGATATTCTGCCATGGCCCGTCCTAATTTGGAACCCCAATATCAAAATATGTTTTTCGTTCTAAAAAATTAAAATTCATATACTAATTTAGAGAGATTATAGGCATTAAATAAATTAAATTTGACCCAAACAACAATTAGATATGAAAACCATTAAACTGAGTAGGTAATAATAACCAGTAATAAATGCAATGAAATATTAGTAAACTTACATTGCACCCTGTCAACTATAGACCTATCTCAGTCACTTCCATACTCTGCAAGACTGTGGAACATGTAGTCAACAACCGTCTCCTGTCATAGCTTGAAGACAATGACCTCCTCAGTGATCGCCAGTATGGATTCCGACGAGGACGATCTACCGGGGATCTTCTTGTGTATGCCTGTCACATATGGAGCGAGGCTATAGAAAAGCAAGGCGAAGCACTTGCAGTGTCTTTGTACATTTCTAAAGCCTTTGACAGGGTCTGGCACGCAAGCCTTTTAAGCAAACTTCCATGTTATGGGCTTCCCACTGACATTTGCAATTGGATCTCGGATTTCTTGAGTGAACGTTCCACTCGAGAGGTCTTAGAAGGCTACTCTTCCGAACATACGGCGATAGATGCCGGAGTTCCTCAGGGTTCCGTACTGTCTGCAACTCTCTTTCTGCTGCATATCAACGATATCTTAATTCCAGGTACCTTTCCGTTGCTGATGACAGCACAGTTGTAGATAGGTACTTGACGAATGCAAAGGTCAGTGGAGAGGAAATCCAGCCTTGTCGAAAGGTTAGCCATTTAGATTTGACACAAAAGGCAGTCTCCGATTGGGGCGATGCCAATCTTGTCAAATTTAACGCTACCTAAACGCAGGCGTGTCTATTCTCCACTAAACAAAGACCCTTTGAGCTGACTCCGACTTTTCGTGATATATCCGAAATATACCGATAGCCGACCGTCTCCAACTACTTGGAATGGACCTGTCGTCCAATCTGAACTTCGGCTGATACATTGAATCCATGGCCAAACATGCAGCCAGGAAGCTTGGCATCATTGGCGTTACTTCACACCGGGACAGTTACTTCAGCTGTATCAAGCACAAGTCCGGTCGTGAATGGAGTACTGTTGCCACCTTTGGGATGGCTCGGCTACATACCAACTGGCCATTTTGGATTCAATTGACAAGCGTGACAAGAGGCTTATTTATAGGTGACTCGGAATTAGTAGAGGCGAAGCTGCAGAGCCTTGAACACCACCTTAAAGTTGCTTGCTTATCTGTATTTTACAGGATTTATCATGGAGAGTGTGCGATGAAATTACACGATTTAATTCCGCCTTCCCCTTTCCATCGTCAGTGGACTAGGCGTAGGCTTGGCTTCCACCTCTATGTTGTGGATATTCCAAAGATTTGCACGAAGCGTTACGCTTCCACGTTTATATGGCGAACGGCTATGGAGTGGAATTCCCTGCCTGCAGACTTGTTCCCTGAACGTTATAACTTGGACCTTTTCAAGGCGAAAGTGAATAGACATTGTGTAGGTGTGCATGCTCCATCGTCGACCTCATCGTCACTTTCCATCAGGTGAGATGGAGGTCAAATGCACACTTACATTAGAACAAAAAAAGAACACAAATACAATGTATATATAATACAAACATATATATACATATATACATATATAAACATATATATATATATACAATACAAGCTTCGTAAAGTCACACATTACATTTGCAAAATCGTAGTAAATGTTGTGTGGTGTTACTCGTATTCATACAAGAAATTAATTACCGTTGAATCTATATCCTCGCAAATGTGATGAAAAACGAAACAAAAGTCATAAAAAAAGAAACAAATAATAATTATAATAATTTCAATTATTGTAAATTATAGGCATGTAGAGGCATCAGAGATATGAAAGCAGCAGTAGCTGGGCAAAAAAAGAAATTCACGGAGAAAGATTCGAGCCCCAACGACGAGGTGAAACATTACTATCTACCAGTGGAAGCTGATACTATAGTGCTGCATAGTTCTTATATCAACAAGCCCTCGCATAGGTGAGACGATTTGCAAGTATTTAGTATTAAGTTCATTGAATATCACTATGTTCTACTACCATAATATTATTCAATTTATGTTTGTCAAATTATTCCACTAGTTTGTCATAATTATTAATATAAAAATCGAGCACTAAGAAAAATTCCTTCATTCCGGCTGGATTCGAACCAGTGGCATCAGTATAGCCTGCCTGTCGCTCTCCCAACTAAGCTTCGGATATTTTTAAGGCTGTGAAATGTTGATACCGAGTGGTGCTACTGTATTGCTTGTCTTAATTATTTACCTCACCTATCCTCACTTCATCCGTCATCCTGTTAGGATACTATTAGCGAGAACAAAGAAATTCCATATACTTTTCCCAGACAAAACTGATGAAAAAAAGGGCCTATTTAAGATGTACTTAAATTAATCCTTAGGGCCTTCCACTGAAAATTTAGTTAATATTCTTGATTCTGCGTAAAATGAGTAAGTACAACTAAATATTCAATCGAAAACGTCGCCATCTGTTCAAAGTCTGAATTCTATACAATTCTTGATTTATTAGCAGTTAGTACAAAATTCTGTTTGGCATGTTACCATTGACGTTAAGATTGTGTTACTTTAGTACCCGCCTATTACGATTACGTATTGTTGTTACTTCTTTACAACAAATGTAACAATTATAATATACACATTTTATGAAACATACACAAGCAGACAGAACACTTTAAATTCGTGTGCGGCGCGCCTAAACAACCTAAACGGCTCAGTGCAGCTTTAGCTGCCCAAGTTTGTGTAAACAGCTATCGCGCGCCGGTTTCTAATAAAAAATTAAAATATAATTACTAACTGTTACTTTACTACTTACATATGTAATTGTACGCATAATTCATTATCTTTCTATTAACGTAAATATTAAGTGATACGGTGTGAAATAAAAATGTGACGTCGTTGATACACTAGTCACAAGAGGAGTTAAGTAATTTTGAAAACTGATTTTCAGGTATTTAACTCGTATTTTTAGTGTATTAGTATCTGATAAGTAAGTTAGATAGTTTTTTACTACTGTTAGTATTTCCAGTTAAAAAGTACTCAATCACGAGATATTAATTCATCAAAATAGAAGGAAACAGTCACAACGTCTTTGTGAAATGTCAAAATAATGTAATATTTTTCCCTCGTATTTTTTTTTTGTTATTTTTCTAGGTGTAGTCATAAGTTTACCCTGAATATAAATGTTTATAAACTATACTTTAAAGAATAATTTCATGGTAAACGTTAGAGTCACTCAAACTGAATATATTATTATATTTATCCTAGTACATCAAAAATTTCATTTGTGCTTTTTAAGTGTAGGATTTACAGTGTGTTATTGTATTTTGAGTATTGAGAGTTTTTAGTTTTTAATACAGAGGGTATTCATCTAACAATGCAGAATAATAATTTTCATTTATAAAGACTGAATTTAAACTTAGTAATTGTCTTGCGAAACCAGACAGATAGCCGCCATTTTGCGGTTGGTTTAAAGTATGTAGTAGCTACTCTTTACAGGCCGAGGAGGTAAGGCATTACTTATCGCTTGAGCGAATATTGAATAGTAATCGAATATTCGTTGCAACTCTAATTTAACTTACTATTGTAACTATCTCCCTAGTATTTGTTAATGACTGTATTTGGAATATATTTCACAGAACAGAATATGGCACCTGGTTCATACAGTCCTTTTGCGATGCAATTGACAGACTATCAAAAACGCATGACCTTGAGTCAATAATGATAGAAGTGAAAAGAGAAGTTGCAATCAAGAAATACCACCGCGTCAAGGATGGAAGCACTAGAAAGTATCAAATCAATAAACAAATGCCGGTCGTCACTTCTGCCTTGATGCGGAAGTTTTATTTCAGGAAATTTGGTGATGAGGTAATTACAACCACAATTTCAGTCCGATCATGTTTAATTTGTAGTTATAGGATACCCCACAGAAGAAAAAAAACAATGGAAGGGCCTTAACCGCTGTCGCCAAAAGTCACACTATCATAATGTTAAACTCTATGAAATCTTGATAATGTTGGGTCGTAGTTTCTAATTTAAACTTTATTCTGCTGGCTTTTTACTGAAAGTTCAATAGGTACCTATTATTGCAAGTTACGACGTATATTACTTAATAAATTACGCCTTGACTTTGATTTTATATTGGAATGATTACGAATACAAAGATTGAACACACAGAAAAATTTTCGTCGACCCGGTGGGACTAGAATTCATGTCCATGCTGCACCGTAACATTGCTCTTACCAACTGAGCTACGGGTCCAGTTACCGGGTCGTCGAAATTCTCCTATTTGTTTTTTGTTATAGATCTTTGTACTGGCTTTCGGCATTAGTCGCTGTTTGTGACATCTAATGAGAGATTTTTGAATAACTTTCTCACACTGATGCTGTATGGTGTGAAAACACAATTCCTAAAAGGTTATCGATAGAAAAAATACACAAACTTACCACGAAATTGATTGAACCAATGATTTTTTTAATATCAACTGAACTAAATAGAACACGTGTACTCTACGGTATACATTTTTCAAATGACTGTAAATCATTTTTTTTTTTAATTAATTCTGAAATAAAGCCAGTGTCTCTTCCGCTCGACCCAAGCAAAATGAACCGTATAAGAACGGGAAAAAATTGAATTCGAGCTGAGGTAATTATACGCAGAAATCCTTCAATGCCCTGAAGGTCCAGTATAATAACACCTTCAGAATGCTGTTGCGGCTGCCCCCGTTCTGTAGTGCGTCCGGCATGTTTGCGGAAGCGCGTACCGACGGTTTTGACGCAGTAGTTCGGAAACGCATTTCGTCGACCATGAGCAGGATGCGTGGCAGCGGTAACAGCCTTCTGAACACCATATCGGAGGATGTAGCGTGTCCGATACTGTGCCACTGGACCAGAATTCATGTCACCAAGAAGGGCTGGTGACATGAATTCTAATTACGCGTACCTATTGTAAATTTGTATTATTTATTTTTAAGTGTTTCTATTTTAATTATTTTATTAAGTGTAATTTACTAACATAGTCCTAAGTTTTTGATTGTTACTAACAAAGTGGATCAATGATCTTAAATAAATAAATTATTATTATTATAATATCAACTCTTAAGCCGTCAAGGAGTTGGGCAGTCTACACACTGTCTTGGTTACAGCATTAGAGCAACTTCACCATGTTAATAATACAATAATAATAATGTGCCAAATAACCACACCAAATGACCTGGTCTCAAACTATGGAATCCCCTGTACTATGAGTACCAGAGCAACATAATAGAGAACCAATATTCACACACAATACAACAATACAATACAATACGAGTTCCGCACGAATTACGATCTGCAGTTAAATAAATATTTCTATGGTTTTAATCATAGTTGGACAATTAATTAGTATACTACTGTTAGTCAAAAGTACCAATTGTGACTTCTATGTGATTAGTGCAGTGAATTATCATTTAATTAACCAATACTCAGTAATTATCAAAGTGCAACGTTACGAATTGTGTCACTATTAGAGGCGTTGAAGAAAACGCGTAAGCGACACAAACTGCATGGCGCTTAAGACCTTTTGGACGCGACGTGTCTAACTCACCGCTGTATCCCATTAAGCGGTTGGAACTTCGACATACAGTTAGACGCAGGAAATTTCTGTAGCGCTGCATT